GAAAAAAGGACACCAGCAATCCTACCATCATGTAAAACAATTACAGGCTTTCGTTTTACACTCGCTTGGCAGGACGGTAGTACCTCCCTGGGTGGTTACTGTCTACCAACCTACTACCTAGATGTTCTACAAATGGCTTGTGGAATATTGGAAATATTCCAAATATTTGGGAATTTGTGTGGGAGTAAAGGGCAAGATATTTTGCAAATGTCAAAAACTTACCAACTTTACTTTTTTGTAGCATAACTAAAGATAATTAAACGATTACCTCCAGTGAGGACAACGCACTAGCATTGTTTTACAAGTATCAGGTCCCAAAACCACCTCTCATGCCATTTAGGCCAGGGTTCTTGCCAGATGTCATTTTTAGTAAATATTTTTTTTTTCGCTTGTTACACGGATTTTGGCTCACAACTCAAAACAAAAAATTGACCGAGCAATTGCTCGTAACTTGGAAAACTCGTAAGTTGGGGCACTCGTAAGTCATGGTACCACTGTACATCCTTAACCCTTTCACTGTCGGCCCCGTAATATTATGGCTTGCAAACCATTGTCGGTCCCGTAGTATTACACCAAAATTCTAGTGGCTTCAGATCTTGTGGGAGAAAGCTGGTAGGCCTACATATGAGAGAATGGGTCTTGAGTGGTCAGTGTGTGCAGTATAAAAAAAAATTCTGCAGCACGCAGTGCATGAGAAAAAAAAGTGACCCTGTTTTTGGTTTAAAACACTTTGTGGTGTATTTTAGTATGGTATTTATGGTTGTATTCTTGTTTTCTTGGTCTCATTTGATAGAATTGAAGCTTATTTACAGAAATAGGGATGATTTTGAATGGTTTGCAGACTAAAAGTACTTTGAAATTGGGCTCAAAGTAGCAGAAATGTTTGATTTTTGCCAGTATTCAGGAGTAAATAAATCACGTTGTGTGCCCAATACACGTCAACTGGTTGGTCTGATATGCTTTCACAAATGCGCTGATATTATTTATACCATTTTTACATAATGCAGTAGTCTGCATAACAGTAAATCTTCTATTTTTTGTGTGAATGAAAATTCAAAATGGAAAGCAAGCGTAATATAAGAGGGGCCTGGAGATGTGGCTGATGAACAGAGAAAATATTATTTTAGTGGTAAGAATGTTTGTATTGGTAAATGGGCAGTTTCTTGTATTCAGTCAGTAGAACAAATGGAGTTCTAGTGAAATAGCTATGAGTTTGGTCGACTGGAACAATGGAATTGGCCGATAATATTGCTCAGAGTGGGAGGAATCACCGATGTGTAAACATTGCTGAGATTGCTAACTTTGCGAGAGCGTAATTCTGTAAGTTTTACATCAAATTTCATACTTTTGGTGTCATTACCATCAGAAAAAAATTCTCTATCATTTCATAAGATTTTTTTTTTTTTTAAATTCTTCAACACTGAGAGCAAGTTTGTCAGCAGGGGTTTTGACAGTGAAAGGGTTAAGCACATAGTAATATAAACATTCTTTGAGAATGTGATCTCAGACCTTGCTCTGCTTGTGCCTAATTGGACTGTTAAAAGAAATTTAATACCTTGTCTAAAATAAGGATCTTTTGGAGTGTCATATTGTGCATGTAACACTTGTATAATAATGTTCATAGAATTCCTGACAAAACGTTAGGCAAAAGGACACTAAGTGCAGCTAATGTGACATATATTGTGGCATTAGTTGCACTTGTCTTTTTACCTAACAACACTTGTTTAATTGTTTTATTATTATTATCACACTGGCCGATTCCCACCAAGGCAGGGTGGCCCGAAAAAGAAAAACTTTCACCATCATTCACTCCATCACTGTCTTGCCAGAAGGGTGCTTTACACTACAGTTTTTAAACTGCAACATTAACACCCCTCCTTCAGAGTGCAGGCACTGTACTTCCCATCTCCAGGACTCAAGTCCGGCCTGCCGGTTTCCCTGAACCCCTTCATAAATGTTACTTTGCTCACACTCCAACAGCACGTCAAGTATTAAAAACAATTTGTCTCCATTCACTCCTATCAAACACGCTCACGCATGCCTGCTGGAAGTCCAAGCCCCTCGCACACAAAACCTCCTTTACCCCCTCTCTCCAACCTTTCCTAGGCCTACCCCTCCTTCCTTCCACTACAGACTGATACACTCTTGAAGTCATTCTGTTTCGCTCCATTCTCTCTACATGTCCGAACCACCTCAACAACCCTTCCTCAGCCCTCTGGACAACAGTTTTGTTTAATTATGTATGTGCATAATGTTTGATGAATAAACTGTAAATAGACACACCACCAATAAATTGTGTATGAATCAAATTATGTATTAGTCCACTGTATTAAACTATACTTTTTAAAAAATCTGATTTTAAAATGCTTTACTGACTATAGTAAATTACCTTATGACAGTAACACCTTTAAATAAAAGTATCATGACAAACATGTAAATAGGCATCTCTGTGTAAAAGTATATATACTATGACATATACGTATATACAGTGGACCCTCGGTTATCGACCTTTTCTTCGGCTTCCTATTATTGGTTGTTATTTCGCCTGTCAGCTGTATGGGACGCATCAACATGCTGCCGCCATCCGCTTGTGTGTCAGTCTGGCTTTGTCTCTGGGCAAGTGAGGAAGCTTCTGCTTGTTCATCCAAACATTTCACTATAATCTATTGTTTTTTGTGGTTATTGATTAAGTGCAACTGCGAAATAAGTAACCATGGCCCCAAAGAAAGCTCCTAGTAAAGTTCCTTTGGTAAAGAAAGTGAGAAACATGATGGAATTTAAGAAAGAAGTTATTGAAAAGTATGAGAGTGGTGTTCGAGTGCTAGAACTTGCCAGGATGTATGGGAAAAACAAATCAACAATTACTTCTATCCTGGCAAAGAATGTAGAAATCAAGGAAGCTAATGTTGCAAAAGGAGTAAATGTGCTAACGAAACAAAGGTCACCAATAATGGAGGATATGGAGAAGTTATTGTTGTTGTGGATCACCGAAAAATAATTAGCGGGAGATAGTGTTGTGGAGTCTATTATTTGTGAGAAGGCAAGGTAGTTGCATGCAGATCTTGTAAAGAAAATGCCTGGAACAAGTGCTGCTGTTAGTGAATTTAGGGCCAGCAAAGACAGGTTTGAGAGATTAAAGAAGCATAGTGGCATACACAGTGTGGTAAGGCATGGGGAGGCTGCAAGTTCTGATAAATGTGTGGCTGAAAAAATTTTGCAGGAATTCAAGGGGTACATAGAGGCTGAAGGATTCCTCCCCCAACAAGTGTTCAGTTATGACGAAACAGGCCTCTTTTGGAAGAAAATGCCAAGAGGACCTACAGTATGCAGGAGAAAAAGGCACTGCCAGGACACAAGCCTGTGAAAGACAGGCTTACTCTTTTGTTCTGTGCTAATGCTAGTGGGGATTTCAAAGTGAAGCCTTTACTGGTGTATCACTCTGAAAATCCCAGTGTGTTCAAGAAAAACAATGTCGTCAAGAATAGATTGTGTGTGATGTGGAAAGCTAATAATAAGGCATGGGTCAAAAGGCACATTTTCAAAGTGGGTCAATGATGTGTTTGGCCTCCAGTGTGAAAAAATACCTCCTGGAACATAAATTGCCACTCAAGTGCCTCCTGGTACTGGACGGTGCTCCTGCTCATCCTCCAGACTTGGAAAACCAATTGTTTAGAGACTTCTGTTTTATAACAATTAAGTTCTTACCTCCTAACACCACTCCTTTCATCCAGCCCATGGATCAGCAGGTAATTTCTAACTTCAAAAAATTCTACACCAAAGCAGTTTCAAAGGTGCTTTGAAGTGACCTCGGACACTGACTTGACTCTAAGAGAGTTCTGGAGGAATCACTTCAATATCCTCCATTCCATAAACCTTATAAGTAAGCTTGGCAGGGAGTGACTTCCAGGACTTTGAACTCTGCTTGGAGAAAATTGTGATCAGATTGTGTCCAAGAGAGGGATTTTGAAGGATTTGGGGCTGACCCTGAGGACCTGCCTGTTGCGGAATCTGTTGTGTCTGTGGGGAAGTCCATTTGGTTGAAGGTTAGTGGCAAGGATGTGGAAGAGTTGGTGGAGAGCCACATTGAAGAGCTAACTACTGAAGAGCTGCAAGAGCTTCATCTGGAATAGTGACAGACCACAGCTGAGGAACTTGCTTCAGAGGAGGAAGAGGGAGGGAAGGAGGTGCCTTCTTCAGAGATTAAGGAGATTTGTGCAATGTGGAGTAGGGTACAAGCTTTTGTGGAGAAATATCACCCTGACGAAGCTGAAACAAGCCATATCTGTAACGTGTTCAGTGACAAAACCTTGTCCCACGTCAGGGAAATCTTAGAGACGCCAGAAACAGCCCTCTCTGGACAGATTTTTTGTGCGAAAGGGGTCCAGTGACACTCAAGCTGGTCCTAGTAGCATTAAAAGACAAAGAAGGGAAGTAACCTCAGAGAGGGCTTTGATACCTGAAGTCCTTATGGAGGGGGATACCCCTTCCAAACAATAAATCCTCCCTCTCTCCTCCTCACTATCTTCCATGAGCCAACAAGAGTCTTCAATAAAGGTATGTAATAGTGATTTAATTGTTCTTGTATTTATTATATTTAGTTCTCATTGTTTTGTGTATGTAAAACTATAATTAATTTTTACAAAAATTATTTTTTGTGAATATTTTTGGTTGTCTGGAATGAATTAATTGTATTTACATTAATTCTTATAACCAAGGATCCACTGTACTACTACTTCCACTGATACCTTAATGCATTCTAAGCTTTTCTTAAAATGATAATCACATACTTGTAGCATTTAATTTAAAAGGATTGTACATTTTAAAAATGGTTATTTTTAATTTGCATATTTATCAGTGTACAGTAAGTACGAAGTGCTTTTTAAAATTAATTTTTGCAGTGATATCAAACCACAAAAGAACACTTAACAAAACTGGTATGAGATTGCTTTCCAGATGTTACTGTGAAGTAGATATTCATATAATTTTTGGTATTCACTCAGAACCTATTACTAAAAGGCGAAAGACAGGTCCTCCCCAGCCAAAGAACCCTATCAGCACGCTGAATGAACTTCGTCCTGGCCTTGTGTATAACATGCTTGGTATGGAAGGGCCATCCCATGCCCCAGTCTTCACTGTAACTGTAGAGGTGAGTAACATGTTAATGGTTTGCATATAAAGTAAAACATGCATTTCCTTGCCTCATTTAATTTGAAGACATGATAAAACTAAAAAAAAAATCTGTTGTCCTCATTTCAGCTTATCAGACTTAAACTTTGTGAATTGTCAAATTTAACCCAAAACCATGGTATTTCTAGAAATAAACTTTCCTGAGTGACAGAATTTTGAATAAAAAATATTAGAGTTTATTCTACCTAGTAAAATAAAAGAAAAAGGAACAGTATCAGATTGTAATTTAATGATTTTTGTTGTGTGTTGAAGCTGGCAAAAATTTATCACTTGTCAGCAACAGCAAAGTAACTGGACCAGTGATATATAAGTTTTATAGTTTATCAATGCTGGATAAAGATAGTTTCGAAATTCTTTGGTTTTCATTGTTGAACTATATGTGCACTAGTTTCTTGTCATGTGTGCTTCAAGGTGTTTTAATAATTGAAGTTTGGGGAAATGCATCACCAAACATTGCTGAAGACAGAATAAAGTGGCACAAATAATTTTTCCTTCAAAGACTAAATACTTGGAAATATTGTATGAGTTGTTTCAGGATGTGATACCCTTCAAAACATGGAAATAAGTTGAATTGTTTTGACTTTCTTGGGTTAATTATTATATTTAGAGGGAAGTGCTAAACCCTGATGAAACATAGTGCCTGGGAAATGGGAAGCAATTATTTTCAATCCAGGGAAGGAGAGGACAAATCCAATTTCTTTGATAAAGAGTCATCCCCTCCCAGCATCAAGGATTATTATAATGAATACAGCCTCTCCTCATTTAGCGATGTACTCATTTACCGACGACTCGGACTTACAACGGGCTCTCTGACCAGTGTGCATACCTAAATAATGTATATCAGAGCTAATTTCCTCTATTCTGTTTATTACAATATACAGTACAATACTGTATAAACATTTAAAAATATACCAGAAATGTTGTAAATGGTGCAAAGGTGACATTAAAACAATATCAAAGATGGCTGACACAAACCCACTACTATTATAGTATGCTCCTCACTTAATGAATTCATTTACCAACGTGGTCTTAGGAACAGGACTCCATCGTTAAATGAGGAGAGGCTGTATTCTTATTAGGGGCAAGCACTAAACCTTTAGGGGTCAGTGCCTGGGAAGTGGGAATTAATCAGCATCAGTCCAAGGAAGAGAAGGGGCAAGTCTGATTCCTTGGATGAAGAACCCCTCACCATCAAGAAACCACAAGGAGCCTCTTTAGGGACTATCCTTCGTTAATTTATATGAAACGTACAATAAATGTTAAATGTTTATCTGAATTTAAATTATTTATTTTTTAATAGTGCTTTAGTCTACTGCATTTCCTTTCATGTAGAATAACTTTTGTCATAAAGATCACTCGATTGGTTTCCATGTGATGAAAGGGAGACCAACCCCTCCCTGATTTGGTATTTTTTAAAGTTAACAATACAAGAATTACTCCAATTATTGCCAGGTGATTGCCTCAGCAGTTTATACATTCACATGTACACATGTGTGTACTCATACATATATTATACATATACTAACTCTTTCACTGTCCAGAGCGCTTGTCTGAAACTTGTCCACAGTGTCCAAGAATTCCTCCCATTTTTATTTTTTCATATGAAATAATAGAATTTTTTTTTCTGTAGGTAATAAAACAAAAAGTACAAAATTTGATGGAAAATTGACTAAATTACTCTTTTGCGAATTATGCTTCATTGGCAATATTTACGCAGCAGCAATTTTTGCCCACTTTGAGTACTATTTTAGGCCAATTACATTGATCCAGTCTACCAAATTCTTAGCTATTTTGCTAGTATATCTTCCAGTTTATCAATTGAGCATAAGAAATTGCCCAATCAGCTATTTCAACTACCCAATAAAGTGATCAGAAATTGGTAATTTAGTAAATTTCACCCAAATTTCAAAATATTCCAATTTAAAAACAGGGTTTAGAATAAACAGTGCAGGCATTCCTGGCATTAAAATAACTTCCTCTGTTTATTAACCCTTTGAGGGTCGACAGGCCCTCTCCGAAACTCGTTCTCAGGGTCAGCCAAATTTAAAAAAAAAAAAATAATTTTCTCTTGTGAAAAGATAGAGAATCTTTTCCCGATCATAAAGACACCAAAAGTTTGAAATTTGATGGAAAACTTACGGAATTATGCTCTCGCGAAGTTAGCGGTCTCGGTGATATTTACGCATCGGCAATTTTGCCCACTTTGAGCCCCATTTTCGGCCAATTCCACTGTACTAGTCGACAAAAAACATGAATATTTTGCTAGAACTCCATTTTTTCTATCGAATGGGTGCAAGAAACCACCCATTTATGAAATTCAACTATCCAGTACAGTGGTCAGAATTTAGCAATTTTGCCAATTTCATACAAATTTCAAAAGATGCCAATTTCCGAATAGGGTCCAGAATAAACAAGAAAGACATTCCTGGCACTAAAATGACATTTCCTCTGGTCATTAGTCACGTCTCAAGGCCCCTCTTATATTCTTTTGCTTTCCACTTTGAATTTTTATTCTCACAAAAAATATAAGATTTACTGTTATGCAGACTACTGCATTAGTGTAAAAAATGGTATAAATATTATTGGCGCACTTGTGAAAGAATATTAGACTCACCAGTTGACGTGTATTGGACCATTGGCATGATTTGTTTACTTTAGAAATTTGGTAAAAATCGAACATTTCTGCTACTTTGAGCTCAATTTCAAGGTATCTTTCATTGTAAAACCAGTCAAAATCATCTCAATTTCTGTAATATGTCTTCCATTCTATAAAATGAGACCAAGAAAACTAGAATACAACAATAAATACCATACGAAAATACAGTGCAAAGTCGCTGTTTTATTCCAAAAAAACGGTCAAAGTTTTTTTTTTTTCTCATTATGCACTGTGTGCTGCAGGATTTTTTTTAGACTGTGCACACTGACCACATAGACCCATTCTTTCATATGAAGGCCTACCAGCTTTCTCCCACTAGATTTGAGGGCGCTAGAATTTAGGCGTACTAGTACGTCAAAAACCCTGGGTCGTAAGCCGTACTAGTACGTCCGAAACCCTCAAAGGGTTAATTACATTCCCAGGCTTTACACATGAATTCCATTTTGATTTTGTATTCACACAAAGAATTTTTATTCACATAGAAAACAGAAGATTTACTTTTATGCAATATTGTAATAACTGTATATATAATATCAGCGCATTTAGACTCGCCAGTTGGACGTGTATTGGACAAGTGACATGATTTCTTTACTTTTGAATATTGGCAAAAATCCGCTACTCTGAACTCAATTTCAAGCTATTTTCAATCCTGAAACTAATCAGAATCTTTTCTATTTCTGTAATATCTTCCATTCTATTAAATGAGACCAAGAAACCAGGAATGCAACCATAAAGACCATATGAAAATACACTGCAAAGTGGCTGTTTTTAACCAGAAACTCGGTTGCAGTTTTTTCTCATTATGCACTGGGTGCTGCAAGATTTTTTATATGGTGCACACTTATCACATAGACCCATTCTTTCATATCTAGACATCATTCATATCTGAATGAGCCAAGCTCATGGTGTAGAACTACGGCACAGTCAGCGAAAGGGTTAACGTACGCACAAGCATACTTACAAGTGCACAGGCCTACATGCACTAATACGAACACATATATGCACACATGTATTCATATAAAAAACTTTTTGCTTTCACTTTTTGTGTGTGGGGAGGGTGTTGGGGGGATTAGAGGAGGCTGGGCTTGTAGAATACAGGGATACCCTACTTTAGATTGCTCAGCAACCAAAACACATCTAGTTTCTGTTTTTCCAGATCAGTGGGCAAGTTTTCCGTGGCTCAGGACGTAGTAAGAAGCAAGCCAAACATTCTGCAGCTGAGGCTGCTCTTAGGTCTTTTCTCCAGTTCCGCAATGCTTCAGATGCTGCTGAAGCTCTTGGCATTAACATCACAGCGGTGCAGGACTTCACTAGTGATGTGTCAGAAGCAGGTTTTGGGTCAAATTCGACTGTAGGTGTAAGTGTGACTTGATACAATCATCAATTAACATTTTTACTTAAGTTTTTCCTGTCCTTTTTTCTTGAAATACAGCATGTTGAAAACATATATATCTAAACTTGAATCTGAAAAATATCTAATTTAATTACATTATTATTTCTGAACAGTCAGTTTACTGTGATTGTGGTGGTGCAGACCACTTTTATGTATCTGTTTAGCTGATCAGAGCCCTGATGCCTACACTACACTGATACCCTAACCTTTCCTTATTACTTCCACACTTCCCTTCACCATCCAGTCCCTTTCTCTGCCCTCCAACCAGTTTCTTTACTCATATCACAGATGTCCCTAATGCAAAAAAAAAAAGAAATACATTTATTGTACATTAACATATTACAAATTAGCATTTGTTCATTGTATGATTCTTATTAGCTTTAAAAGAGAGATCTAGTTATGTCTGTCTTAACATAAAAATTGATTTTTCACCCTCTATATATCAATTTTTACCGAAGTTGGCTAATTTGGCACATTTTCAGGCTTCAACCCATCACTCGTGTGACTAAGTAAATATACAATCCCGCTCCCATAATGAGCGAGGGTATTGTATTGTCTTTCAGTTTTATTGGCAAGGTTTTGGTCAGAAACGACTGTGGATTGCTTTTTATTTGCTGTGTGTGTGTGATTATCTATTTGAGTTTATGCAATCTGTCTTCATTCTCTTTACATCATTGGGCACAAGAAAAAAACCAGTCCAGATTCATAAGAATATTACTTATGCTCTAATAGCTAACTGTAAGTCGTATATTACATGTTTGACATTAAGTACAAGGATCGTGTATGTGAACGAGGACTGGTCGAGTTGTATAGGTGAGCTCTTGTTCTTGTTTGAGCTCCTTTTCCTGTTCAGTTTCAACCAGCTGATATGAAATAGGTTGTTATATCTACTTTTGAACCTTTGTATTAAGTCTGCTTTTACTATTTCAGTATCTAGGATATTCTGCTTCTTCACCACTTGTATTGAAATATAGCATATATTTACTGAAGCCATTTTGAATTACCTCGTATACTCGAGTATAGCGTAGCTTTGTGTATAACCCTGCCACTTACTTTTTTTCTCCAAAATTTTTACTCTTTATATATCATGTACATACCTGCCCTCCAAAATTTGTTTACCAACTTTTCAAAGGTTTGTAAAAGAATTTGGGAGGGATTGTATAAAAAGGTAATTAAAAGTGAATATAAGAAAGACCAAGGTGATGAGAATATCAAAAAATATAGGCAGTGAGAGATTGGATATCAGATTGGAGGGAAGGAATATGGAGGAAGTAAATGTGTTCAGGTATTTGGGAGTGGACTTTGTGTTCAGGTACAGTGCACCCCCGGATTACGTCGTCATCGGAATACCTAATATTCGGAATAAGTTAAGTTTTTTCGTCAGAGTATTGGCTTGATTGTCACTGAACTCGGAATAAGTCATTCGTCTGGAACATGTCCGCGCTGCCTGAGCAGCCTGGACACTCCATGTACAGCCAGTGTATCATTGTTTACCAGCCAGTGAGGACGATCCCACACGTTCATGCGATACATTTTGTATTATTCCATTCTTTTTAGTGCTTGTAACTGCTAAATAAGCCACCTTGGGCCCAAAGAAAGCTTCTAGTGCCATCCCTTAGGTAAAGAGGGTGAGAAACACTATAGAATTCAAGAAAGAGGTCATTGGAGTGTGTGTCGCTGATCCAGCCTGGCTGTAAAACAAACCCCATACAACCATCACTTCTATCCTGGCCAAGACAAAGGAAATCAAAGAAGCTGTTGTTGTGAAAGGTGCAAATATGCTTATAAAACAAAGATCGCAAATACTGGAAGATGTGGAGACTATGTTGTTGGTGTGGATCAACGAGAAACAATTATCAGGAGGTAGTGTTGTGCAGTCAGTAATATATGAAAAGGCAAGGCAGTTGCCTGGAGCTAGTGCTGATATTGGTGAATTTAAGGCCAACAAAGGCTGGTTTGAGAGATTTAAGAATCGTAGTGGCATACACAGTGTGGTAAGGCATGGTGAGGCTGTCAGTTCTGACATAAAAGTGGCTGAAAAACATGTTCAGGACTTAAAAGGGTACAGAGAGGCTGAAGAATTCAAACCCCAACAAGTGTTCAATTGTGATGAAACAGGCCTCTTTTGGAAGAAAATGCCGAAGAGGACCTACATTACTCAGGAGGAAAAGGCCCTCCCAGGACACAAGCTTATGAAAGACAGGCTAGCTCTCATGTTTTGTAGTAATACTAGTGGGGATTTCAACGTGAAGCTTTTACTGGTGTATCACTCTGGAAATACCAGAGTGTTCAAGAAAAACAGTGTTGTCAAGAGTAAATTGTGTGTGATGTGGAAGGCAAACAGTAAGGCATGGGTCATGTGGGACATTTTCCTTGATTGGTTCCATGACGTGTATGGCCCCAGTGTGAAAAAATACCTCCTGGAAAATAAATTGAAACTCGAGTGCCTCCTGGTAATGGACAATGCTTCTGCTCATCATCCAGACTTGGAAGAGCAAATGGTGCAGGAGTTTTGTTTTATCAAAGTGAAGTTCTTGCCCCCTAATACCACTCCTCTCCTCCAGTCCATGGACAAGCAGGTCATTTCAAATTTCAAAAAACTGTACACCAAAGCATTGTTTCAAAGGTGCTTTGAAGTGACCTCAGACACTGAATTACCCTAAGAGAGTTCTGGAAAGATCACTTCAGTATCCTCAGTTGCATAAACCTTATAGGTAAGGCTTGGGGGGAATGACTTCCAGGACTTTGAACTCTGCTTGGAGAAAATTGTGGCCACAATGTGTACAAGAGAGGGATTTTGAAGGGTTGGGGCTGACCCTGAGTTGCATATGCCAGTTGTGGAATCTTTTGTGGAATTGGGGAATTCCATGGGGTTGGATGTGAGTTTGGAGGATGTGGAAGAGTTGGTAGAGGACCACAATGAAGAGCTAACCACTACAGAGCTGCAAGACCTTCATCTGCAACAGCAACAGACCACAGCTCAGAAATTGCTTGAGAGGAGGAGGAAGAGAGATGGAGGAAGGTGCCTTCTTCAAAGATAAGGACATTTGTACAATGTGGACAAAGGTGAAAACATTGATGAATGAACAACACCCTGACAAAGCTGTTGCAGGTTGTGTTGGCAACATGTACAATGACAATGTTGTGTCCCATTTCAGGGAAGTTTTAAAGAAATGCCAGAAACGGACCTCTCTGAAACACTTTTTTGAGCGACAGGGGTCCAGAGACTCTCAGGCTGGTCCTAGTGGCAATAAAAAACAAAGAAGGGAAGTAACCCCAGAAAAGGACTTGGTACCTGAAGTCCTTATGGAGGGGATTCCCATTCCAAACAATAGTACACCTCCATCCTCTCCCCTCCTCCTGTCTCATCACTCATCAATAAGTCTTCAGTAAAGGTAATTGTCATTTTAGTAATGTTTTATTCTGCATCTCATTGTTTTCTGTGTAGAGAAATGTATATTTCATGTAAAAAATTATTTTTTAATACTTTTGGATGTTGGGAATGGATTAATTGGATTTTCATTATTTCTTAAGGGGAAAATTAATTCAGAATTCGTTAGATTCGGGTTGTCACTCTCTGGAACAGATTAATTACGAAAACTGGGGATCCACTGTATTTGGGAGTGGACTTTGTGTTCAGGTATTTGGGAGTGGACCTGTCAGTGGATGGCTCTATGAGAAATGAGGAGATAAAGGTAGGTGATGTATTGAGGCATTTGTGGAGACAAAGAACTTTATAGAGGTAAAAAAAAAAAATAATGTACCGGGGTATATTAATAATAACACTGTGTGTGAAGCATGGGTTTTGAATGTTGCACTAAGGAAGAGGCTGGAAACAGTTTAGATGTCATGTTTTGAGGGCAGTATGTGGTGTGAATATTACGTATAGAATTCAGAGTTTGAAGATTAGGAGATGTGGAATTAGCAAAAGTATTATTCCAATGGGTGAGGAGGGGTTGAGATGGTTTGGACATTTAGAAAGCATGGAGAAGAGTAGTAGTCCCAGACTATTCAACATCTTAACAGATGATATCAGAAATATGGCTGGAACAAGTGTAGAAGCCTTCAAGAGGAAACTGGAAAAACTATCTTCACCAGGTGCCAGATCAACCAGGCTGTGATGGATATGTGGGGCAGCAGGCCTCCAGCAGCAACAGCCTGATTGACCAGGCAAGCACCAGACAAGCCTGGCCCATGGCTGGACTCCGACAGTAATGAAACTCTCGAAACTCTTTGATGGTACGTAAAGGTAGTAGGATGACTTAAGAGGGTGTATAAATATGTGGAGGGAAGGAAAGGTTAGAGGTAGGGAATAAAGGAACAAACCACTTTTACAGGCTAAGAGCTGTTATCCTGCCTCAGTTTCAATAAGGTTATAAGAAAACACTTATTTGGCAGTAGATTGGTAGAAGAGTGGAACAAACCACAAAGTTTGGACAGATCCACAGGTGGAAATGATTGGATGAGAGTTACATTTGTCTTACATGAGCCACTTGGCCTACTTTGGTGCTGTTCTATTAATGTTCTAGTTTTTATATAGGAATAAAAAATTGTTTGGCAGAGTTGTGAATGAGTGGAATGTGTGATTGAGGGCAGTGCCTCCCTAGCATGACCTGCTGCAGTGCTACTTTAGTTTTGTGTTTCTTCAGTACAAGCATTAATTATAATTTAAAGATTTCAAGCCTTCAGAAAAATTACAAAGGAATAAATCTACTACTTACCCCCTTACTCAAAAAAAAAAAAAGAAAAAAAAAGTAGTCTCGACATAAGCTTGTATGATGGTGCAAACTTGGGCTTTTGGTCAGGTCTTAACTTTTGACCATCTGAAATTGGTCTCTCTTGTTTACTTTTGAAATATGAGGATTTATGATTCGCCATATATTTGTTTAGTTCATTCCAGTTATTAACATTCATATGTTGTAGAGCTTTCAAATATCACTTGGGCTCACTCAGTGTTGCAATTT